TTAATAGACTGCTCCTGAAGAGTGCTTAAAAGAAGTGTGGAAGCATTTAGACGCCTTCTCTAGGCAGAGACAAAAAGCTCAAGTCTGTGAGCACAGTTTCTACTGTAGGAAACTAGAAAGAAAGAGAGTAAATTCTACAATTTGTAGAAAAAACAATAATGTTGGTGGCAAATATAAATTAAGCCATAAACAAAACAACAGAGTGTGAAACCCAAAGCTGGCTCTTTGAGAAGGTTAACAAAGTTCATGATTCTGTGACTAGACTGATCAGGAAAAGATGGAAAGTCAAATGACCAGATATGAAAAATGAGAGAGGTGACATCAGAGCGGTTTCTAGGATAGTCAAAGTTTACAGAGGAAATGTTCATGACTTTGTGCCAACGGAATGACTAATAAAATGAACAAACTTGAAAGCCAGACTACCAACGCTTGCTAAAGGAGAAATAGAAAATGAAATAACCCCAACTCTGGTAAAGATACTGAAATATAGTTAAGAGTCTTTCTCCCCCCACCAACTGTGACACACATGCACAATGGACCCCAGGTCCTTTGGTCTTCACTGGTGAATTCTACCAAATGTTTACAGAAGAAATAGCAATGCCATACAGATCCTCCCAGGAGAGAACACACCAGTTCAGTCTGTGAGACCAGCAGTACTAAAGACAGAAAAAGGACATCATGAAAGACGAAAAGTAGGACATAGCCCATGAAGGATGCTGTCGTGCTTGACATTGATCAGAGACCTAAATGCAAGGATTAAAAGTATAAAAATTAGAAGAAAACATGCAAGAAATCTCAGTGATCTTGAGTGTATGAGGGTCCTTAAATACACTCCAAAAAACACTAAATTAAATAATTGGGCATCATTAAAATGGAAACTTGCTTTCCCAAAGTACTGGCAAGAAAATGATCTAGCAAACTAGATTGGGAGAAAGTATTTGCAGGCCCTTAGCTGACAAAAGACTAATATTTAGAATATATGTACAACTAAATCCAGCCAGACTTCTGCAAAAGATTTTAATTAGTCACCTCAACAAAGGTATGTGGATCATCAGTTCTTAATAAATTGTCCATTTTATTAGTCACTAGAGGAAAGCAAATTAAATATAATGAAATACACCACTGTCTGTGTGGTAGGATGGCTAACATGTTGACCTGGAGGCAACATGTAGCTGGAGTTCTGCCCTCTTCTGCACACCTGTACCAAAAAGTGCTACAACTTAGCCATTACAACCCGAAAAATAAATGCACAGGGCCAGACAAGAAACTTTTTCCTATTTAAAAGAATAGGTTTATTAGGGGAAGGGACAGAAGAGTAAAAGATACTTGTGGAGACAAGTGGGCAGGAAGAGCTGCTCGAAAGGGTCAGGCTTGCTGAGGGGCTGCGTGGGGCAGGCGGGCGGCCTTGAGGAAGCTGACTCCTGGGAGGGAGGACAGTGCAGAGAAGTCAGGCAGGGAACAGGTCCTGGCAGGCAGAGACTGCTGCCCTGTGGAAGGAAAGAGCTGGTAGAAAGGAACACTAGCAGAGGCACCAGTGGGCAGAGGACTGCCGCCAGACAAGAAATTGAACAATAATTTTCTCTGTCAAAATAGGGGGAAAAAATGAAAACAATGCTGTCTGTTAGCAGATGAACAGTGAAAAGGAAAACACGTATTAAATAATGGAATATTACTCAGGAATATAAAGGAACGAGCTCCTGGCACATTCAGTAACCTCTATGTAAAGTGACAAAAAGCAAATGAGCAAAAATAAATGAAAGTGATTGACAGAGGAAGACAATTAGAAATCTTGATTTCATGTAAGGAATACATATAATAGGAAACATATATATATTAGGACTGTGATTTAATTATCCCAAGTTTTTTAGCTTTATGGCTACAAAGGACCCAGCTCTTTGATTGATGGTTGCTGAAATGCAGTTTCAGGCTTTGGTTACCAAGGTTACAGATTTGTAGGTTGTTGTAGTGGACAGAATCCAACTATTTCTGATTAACCTAGCTTTTGGATCACGTTTTGAAAAACCCAGCTTTAAGCTAGTTAGTGCAAAAAACATTTCCTTGATCCTCCCCAGTATTTAGCATAAACCTAGCTTATTGTGGATATTTCAAACTCCTTTTCCCCCCTCTTTAAACAGCAATTGCACTACATGAAATAAATATGACTTGTCAATTTTGTGTGGGAGAGGAGCAGTAAGACCCAGCAACGCACATGTGATTCCTTAGCATGGAATCATGGAAACACACTACCATGTTCTACTATCAGGCCATGACCACGTTGATCTAGTGTCTTTATAATCAACCTGTGTGTATCACCTTATCTACCACGTGTGAAGTGAGTGGGAGAAAGAATCATATTTTGTTTCTGCTGTGATCAGATCTCTAACGCAGCTTGAAATAGTTGCTTTTATTGTCTACCTTTACTTATGGATCTTGTAAGAAATGCCTTCTGCGTGGAGGACATTAGAGAAACATTTCTAGAAAGTCACAACAACCAGTCCAACTTTAAACTGGCAGGCATTATCTTCTCCAGTGGTGTCAATATTTATTAAAGCATAAGACAGCTGGAATTCTCTTAAATTAAGAAGTCTGAAAATTTCCAGGGAGAGCTAAACTAATTCCTTACATCACTGAGTAAGGAAGTTTGCACAAACGAGGGCACACCTGGGTAAGTGCCCAGGTATATACGGCTCTTTCCTCTCTGTGTTCCCCAGAGCCCAGTTGGAACACAGCCAAGGTCTGAGGAGTCCTGAGGTGTGTCTGATCTGGAACACTCTGGAAGGGAGCAGACAAGGATACTGAAATTCACTTGGAGCAATACAAGAGGGATTTGAATCAGACTGGGATGTTCAGAACTTTCCCTGGACAAAGTGATCTAACCATTTGGCTCCAGGACTCTCAAGTGTTTTTCTGATCAGGGAGTAAGAAGCCAGCCTCAGCTGATGTCTTTATACTTACACATGTATACATGCATCCCAGCCTTAGTCTGGGATACATTACCAGACTGGTCATTTTACCAGCTGGTCATTTTCTTCAGGATTCATGTGGATTTGTCACATCAAAGGGCTCTGCTTTAAATACCCTGTTGTCTTTCTCTTTAGTCTCTCGACTCAGACCTCCCTAAGTGGGACTTTAACAAATGACTCTGGAGCATCTCTTCCATGGATCTGAACAAAATGCCTGTTTCTTAGCATTTACCAGTCTCAGTCCCAGCATATACACGTGTGGCTGTGTATTTACATCAGATACCCTATATGTTGTTATAGTCAGAGAAATTGGATTTTGAAATCCAGGAACTTGTCCTTTCTTTCTAGTCTGGTATTTATCTTTCCTGTTTCTTCTAAGTCTTTCTTCTCTCCCTCCCTGAAGGGAGTCTGTCATATGCAAAGGGACTCTGAGATTGTGCATCTTTCTGGGAGTGAATGAATGAACTTGTGAAGAACGGGACAAATAATTGACTGGAGTCAGAGCTCTCATTGGCAGCCTTTAGCAAACGTATCTTCCCCAGTCTCCTGGGCTTCCTACACATTGGTGGGAGCATTAGCATTTGGTGGAGAGAAAACCCCGTGGCTGTCCCCTGACAGCCTTGTGTATAATGTTTTGGATGCTAGGTTGAAAGAAACAGAAAAAAATCAAACCTGCTCATTGTGTTATTTGCTAGTATTCTTTGAACACTCCAGATTGTCTTCATAA